TCTCTTCATCTCCTCATACAACCACAAACTCATTCCCTCATCAATTGTCCATCGATCGATCAAAATCAAATCGATCTTCAATCACAAATCAATTAAGTCTTTTGCATTATTCCTTCCCAATATTAAAATATATTATATATGCAATGCTGAGGCAGCGCTAATAGAGTAGTAACGTTGAGTCAGACGTTTATATTTTTTATAGAGTATTAAATACGTTCTTTGAAGGACATTCATTGGGCAGGACCAGTAAACAATAGCCACGACAAAACGACGACAAAGGCACCAACAACAGCAACGGTAACGACAACAACGACAAGAACGACAACAGCAACAACAACAACAACAACAACAACAACAACAACAACGACAACAACACACAACAATTACAGTAGCAGCAGCAACAACATCGTCAACAACAACATTAACGACAACAAAAAAACAACAACAACAGCCATATCAATAACATCAACAGCAATAACAACAGCAACAGCAACAACAACAACAACAGCCATACCAACAGCAACAACAACAAGAAACAAACAAACAAAGCCACCATTACGACAGTAATAGTAGTTGTGTATTAGGTGCGGCTTTGAGTGTATAGTAGACACGACAGTAGTACAATAATTATGTAGTTGTACACATAGTAGACTTGACTCACCGGCATAGTTGTCGAAGGTGGTGGGATTGTAATCCGGCGCGAAGCCCAGACAGGCGAGTCTCCTGGCCAGACTGGTCTTCCCCACCATGGCGTCCCCCACCACCACACACTTGACGTTGCTCTTCTTGTGGTTGAGGCTCTTGTAGGCCAAGTCCTTCTCCTGTTTGTTGCACACGGTCATCTTGGAAGTAGTTGTGGGTGAAGGTATTTTATTCACTGTCGGTTGTTACTGTTACTGTTGTTGTTGTTGTTGTTGTTGTTGTTGTTGTTGTTATTGCTCAAGTGATGATGCCGCTATTGAGGATTCAATGCGTTTCCACTGACGTATATCGTTGCAGTTGTTGTTGGGGATTTGCAATTAGCAGATCTGGTAAAACAAATAATTCTTTCGGTCCTTCGGAAAGTTCTCCTTGGTATTAGAAACAGAACAAGACTTACGTCGAGACGGTCGGTCAGTGATTTTTGCTGCTAATATACTGCTGCTGCAGCTGATGCTGACGATGCTATTGGTGCTGAGCGTTGTGATGACGATACCGAGCGAGTTTGCTGATGACAGCAGTCGTTGTAGTCGTTGCTGTTGGTTGTTACGTAATGTTAACCGATGTGAGAGCTACACCTGCTGAACCTGTGAGAGAGGGAACAAAAGGGTGCCCGG